TTTGAGACTTTAGCAACTTGCCTTCTCTCTGTGCCCCTGGACTTTGCACTTCTACAGAGAGACGATCCCACAGGAATGTTTGCCATTACCCAACACACAACATTTTTTCCTTTTTTTTTTTTTGAGAAAAGCCCTCACTGAATAGTTCAGGCTGACCTTGAACTTACTCTGTAGCCTAGGCTAGCCTTGAATTCACGGTGATCCTCCTGTCAGCTTCTCGACTGTGGGATTACAGGCATGCGCCACCATGCTTGGCACAACACACACATTTCTTGTGCAAATTCGCCCAATTTGCACCAAATGCAACTAGCTCAGATGCCGAGCACCTGCAGCTAGTATTTCTGTGTGGTGGACACTTTGAGAGGTGGAACCCATGAGGGGTCGTTAGGTCATTGAGGGTGTGTTCTTGAGGGGGACTCTGGGACTCTAGCCCCTTCCCCTTTCATTCTTTAGCTTCTGGCCATGAGCAGAGTGGTTCTGCTTGGTTGCATGTTCCTGCCATGATGCCCTGTCCTGCCACAGACCCAAAACCACAGGGCCATCCAATCATGGACTGGAATTTTGTGAGTCAAAATTCACCTTTTCTCTTTATAAGTTGATTATCTCCCCTTTGACACCTGTGCGTTCCATTTCATCATCTTATTTCTTTTCCCAATAAACCACGATTGTCCCAGCCCCAGCCATGTGACAAAGGTAACAAGCCAGGGCCTGGAGGCTGGAATGCATGGGGACAGGTCAAGTCCCACCCAACAGGGATGCTGATGAGGGAAGGTTAGAAAAGCAGAGGACAGAAGGGAAATGGGGACCAGATGACCTTCACCCTTGGCCAGCCTAGGATCAGATTATGGAAGCAGAGTATGCATGGGAATGCACAGAGAGGTGTAGCGGACCTTCTGAAAACTACAGCTTCCTCCATCTGTGCTGGCTTCTTGGAGAGGCCCACACAGGCAGGTTATGGGGTGGGGGGAGGCCACGGACAACCCTTTCCCAGCAGGCAGGAAGGATGCCAAGCTGGCATACTGCACAGGGACATGGCACTTGTGTTGCTGAAGTGGATGGGGGTGTGTGTGTCCTAATGGATGTTGTGGCTAATCCTGACATGTCAAATTCATTGAATTGAGAAATTCTGAGGCTGGGGATGTAGCTCAGCAGCACCATGCCTGCCTGGCAAGCACAAGGTTCTGACTGAGTTTCATTCCCGGTAACAACAACAACAACAACAAAAATGCCTAGCAGATTAGTAGAGCCTGCTCCTGTGTGTGTCTGGGTAGGCCATGGGGATGTGACCTTGGGTACTCTACCTGGTCCCTCACCCTTTCCTCTCTGGATCTGTTCCCCTGCTCTGCTTCCCCACCACCATGAACTAAGCGGCCTTCCTCTACCACATCCTGTCTGATGTTCCTGTCTTGGAGCTAACAGACCATGGGCTGAATGTCCTGAAGCCATGAACCAAATTAAACCTCTCCTCCTTTAAGTTGTGAGTGTCCAGTATTGTGTCTCACCAACCGGAAAACTAATACAGGGAGTCACACCTGTGATTGTCCATGGGTGTTGTTCCCAATCCTCTGCCCTTGGACATCCTTTCTACACCATACTGTTTATCCAGCCCTCTCCCCAACATCCACATGTGGACACCAAGTCTCTTCCAAGGATAGAGCTTGTCTCTCCCCTACCAGCACCTTTCTTCTTCCTGCAGTGGCCTTTCCCGAATCCCAAGTGGATGTGATTCTCTTCTTGTTTCTTCCTTTCTCCACTTGGATCAGATGTGGCCCCTTTCCAGTAAGCTTGCAGTTTCCCATGATGAGCTGAGCATGTTTCTCCCTGCAGGGCCACCCCTGATTTCAACTGGCCCATCCCAGCTTCTCCTTCTTGGCTGGAACATGTTGCTTCTTGGACACCAACCCTGGCCAATCCCTCCCCATACCGCGCACCATGACTCCTCGGTCTCAGATTTCAGACAGAGGTTGATGGGGAATGAAGCCCTTGCCACCCTCCTCCCAGTTTTCCACAGAGACCCCATTTGTCACCTATCCCAACTTCTGCTGCCCCAGATAGGCGCTGGGCATTCACTGGGAGAGGAGGCAGGGCAGGTGGCTGGAGGAAGGTGCACCTGATCCCCACAGACCTCAGCCCTTGGTGGCTTTTCCACTTGACGTTGGTGCCTCTGTCCCTTAGGGGAAGATCATAGAGAAAAGCATGCCTGATGCCCACACTGCAGCCTGCAGCAAGCTGAGATCCTAATGTGAAAAACTTAATACACATGGGCTTAGGGTCGTTTAGTCTTTTTTATTTTTTTTTTTAGTGATACTGGGAATTGAACTCAGGTCCTATACACTGAATTACATCTTCAGCCCTTTTAATTAATTTATTTACTTTCTTATTTTGAGATAATGTCTCCATAAGATACTAAGTAGCCCAGGCTGGGTTCTAACTCTCCATCCTCCTGCCTCAGCCTCCCAGAGACAATATTCTTAGTGCACCTGGATTTTTTTTTTTGTACCGGGCATCGAACTTCAGTCCTTGCCCTTGCATAGCAGGCGGCAAAACCACTGAGCTAAATCCCCAGCCCCACACCTGCATTTTGATTGAGACCCTTCAGATGAGGTGAAGTGGGTACTTTTTCACTTGTGCTGTCACGTCAGCACAAAAAGTTTCAAACTTTGGAGAATTTGGACCTCAAATCTTCAGACTAGGGATGCACAATAATAAATAGACCCTGAATTCTGAGAGGCCAATTCAGACACATAGAACATACTCAAAGCCAGGCCAGGGATTTAGCTCAGTGGTTTCGCCGCCTGCTACCCAAGCGCAAAGACCCGAGTTCGATCCCCGGTACCAACAAACAAACAAACAAACAAAAAACATATTCAAAGCCAATGGCTGAGAAGTGACTCTTGAGGTCCTTACCCACGAGACGAGGATCAGCGTTTGGAGATGGGGATCATGTTCTTGGGAAGACTTAGAGTACTGTGAGCCTACTCACAAAGAGTCAGGCTTATATGGTGTCATTGAAATATGTGATGAATGTTTAAATATAAAAAAAAATCACACTGAAAGACATATTGCCATGAATCCCTCTCACAATCCTCCCCCTTGATTTGAATACACATCTCATTGTTCTTGCCACTTTCTGAAGCAGTTCTGTAAGTCCTCTTTCTTTTTTCTTTAGACAGGGTCTCACTATGTAGTTCAGGCTGGCCTCGAACTCACAGTGATCCTCCTGCCTCAGCTTCCCGAGTGCTGGGAATACAGGTGTACACCACCAATCCCCACCTGAAGTCCTCTTTCATGAGTGTCTTTACAAGGTGGGATCAAAAATACAGTGAATGGTACTGCTGAGTGCCATAGAATGGAAAGATGGTCTCATGAAAACATGATGGTGAGTTGTCACCCACCTTATTCACTGGATCTTATCACTGTGACTTCTGGCTCTTTCCCAAAATCAAAATAACCATAAAAGGGAAACGTTTTGAATCAATTCAGGACATCAAGGGAGCCATGAGAGCACAACTGAAGACCCTCATGAAAGAGGACTTCAGAACAGCTTCAGAAAGTGGCAAGAATGGGCTGGGGATTTAGCGCAGTGGTTCCATTGCATGCACCACAAGCACAAGGACCCGAGTTTGATCCCTGGTACAAAAAAAAAAAAAAAGTGGCAAGAATGATGGGATCAGTGTGTTCAGAGTGAGGGGGAGGGTTTCGCAGGGGATTCATGGCAAAGTGTCTTTATTGTAAAGATTTTTTAAAATTTAAACTTCCAGGCCGGGGATTTAGCTCAGTGGTTTCGCTGCCTGCTGTGCAAGCGCAAGGACCCGAGTTCGATCCCCGGTACCAAACAAACAAACAAATAAAAAATTTAAACTTCCATGATATTTTCTAACCATTCCTCGTGCTTGACAAGATCAAGGACAAAGGCTTCAAGACTCTTAAGAGCTTGGGGTCATACCCAGACTTTGAGGTCCCTAGATGCTCCACTGCAGGAAAGCAGATGGACAAGCAGCTATGTCCAAGTGAGCCTGACACTGAGGAATCCAAGGATGCTCCAGCCTGGAGCTGGTTTCCACCCGTCTCCCAGATTAGAAGAAAAATGGGATTCTCATGGGGAAAACCTAGTTCAAGTGCATGGGCAGAAAAACTAGGGACAGAGGAGGAGGAGGAAGGGAAAACACTGACGGTGCCAGAAGTACCTTAAAGGGGAACCACGAGGTAAGGAGAAGAGGCCTGAGGAGGTGCTTCCGAGGTAGAGCGGTTCCCTAGTATGGCCCTGAGTCCAGTTGTCAGCATCATAAATAAATAAATATGCCCATGAGGAAAAGATTTTGGCTTTAGAGATCTGAAGGCCCAGAGAACATAAGCTTTCTCGTCACAATCTGGCAGTGCAAAGGCCCTGGGTTCAATTCTTAGTACTGGAAAAAAATTTTTTTTCTGGCCCCCTTACCCCATTTCTGCCCCCCCCCCCACAAACCCTAAGAGGTTTGGTAAGGCTCAGAGGCAAGCTGGGTACCTAACTCTATCTTTCCCACCCCTGAGGATCATTCCATCCCTCCATCATGCTAGGCACCCTCAGCCAAGCTCAGCTTTGGCTCACAACATTCTACTGTCCACCCTAACTTCTCCCTCTCCCTAAATCTTGCTCACCCTTCAAAGCTACCCCTCTGTACAGTCTCCCTCTCCACCCTTGTCCAGATCCCCTTCTTTACAGAGATGAAATGAAGAGCTTATCCAGGGTCAGGTAGCAGAGGGAAGTCTCCCTGGGAGACAGATGCATGGTGCTGGGATCCGGGTCAAGGTGCCAACTCTGTGGCACATCAGGATGGGGCAATTGTGCCGGGACATGCACTCATTGAAGGATGGACATGGCAGGAGGCAGAGGTGTCAGTGCTCAGGGCTTAGGACACCACAGCTTCCCTTGTGGTCTGAGGACAGTTGCTACACATGGCCAACTTGCTCCTGGTGGTCTGCAGCTCTGGGGCACAGGGATGGGGCATACCCTTGGGGAGGAGAGAACGCACATGAGTGGTGACAGGCACACAAAGGGCAGCAGATCTCAGGAGGGGCCGAGAAGAGGCACAGAGAGAGGCCCATGAGTCTCCTGAAGGTGACCTGGCACAGGTGCTGCCAGGAGCCTGCGGCCAACGGCTTCAATGTGGAGATGTCATTCTTCCCGAAGGAGTTCAGTGCACCTGGGAGGCCCTGCAGGGTGCCAAAAGAGGGGATGCTGTGGTTTGCAGCAGTGTCTCCCAAAGGCCTGTAGGCTGGGGGCTCGGCATCTGGAGTGGCACCCTAGGGGAGGGGGTGTGGAGCCTTTAGGAGCTGGGACTCAGTGGAAGAAGTTAGGTCAGGGGGCGTGGCCTGGAAGGTGACAGGAGGCCCTCTGCCTCCTCTTGGCATCCTGGCCACGAGTCTAGTGGTTTAGTTTTGCCGCATTTCTGCCATGATATGTCACTTCACCTCTGGCCCAAACCAACAGATCCAACCCATTATGTACTGAAACCTCCACAATTATGCCAGAATAACTACTCTCTCTGGTCCGTCTATTTCTGCTTCTATCTCCAGTACTTGGGATTGAACCCAGACCCTTCACACTGACCTGTATCCCCAGCCCTTTTTTATTTTGAGACAGAATCTCGGTAAGTTGCTCTCAGTAATTACCCAGGCTGGGCTTAAAGTTAAAATCCTCTTGCCTCAGTCTCCCAGAGTGCTGGGATTATAGGCATGTGCCATCATGCTTGGCTAATTTTTCTCTTTATAAATTGATTACATCAGGTATTTATTATAATGATGGGAAGCTAATAGAGATGGTCAGTCTCCTGTACTGCCACCTTGGAGGCTGGAAGTCCCTTCCCATGCCTTATGATGCTGCTTCCCAGAGCCTTTTGAAACACACAACTATGGCTGCAAAGAAGGCACTAGAAGAAAGGGCTCACTTTTCTTGACAAATGGTTGTACTTCAGGCCTTCAAATACTCATTTCTGCATTCAGTCTTCACATCTATAACATCTGTGTCAAGGAAGGTAGTAGCCCAGTTCACAGGTAAACAAGCCGAAAGTCTCACTTTTGAGACAGGGCCAGGGCCTCTGAGCCCCAGGGCTCTGCTATTTGCCCTATGACCTGGCCTTGCTTGCAGAGGGAAGCAGCACGGGGGTGGGCACAGTCAGGTACTGAAGGGCTGCCAGGGGCCACCAGCTGTGAGACACAAGTCCCCCCTGCAGGGACCCAGATGTTAGGGACTGAGAAAACCTGCAGTACCACAGAGACCCTCCAGGGGAGCTGCTTCCTCGTTCTGGCCATCAGGACATGCATGTCCACTCACCCAAGCCTCAGCGCCAGGCACATGAAGCCATTGTGTTCCTAGGGTGTGACGCGATGCTCCCCTGGGACCGCATATAGGGTCTCCTGGGCACCCCAATCAGGATGACCACAGCCTGCCTGAGCTGGGGCTGGGACAGGATGACTCCTATGGACGCGAGAAGGTGGGAAGCAGTCACCATCCCCTCCACAGCTCCCCAGCCCCTCACCCCACTCAGCATGGGGGCGTGCATCCATGTCCTGTCCCTCCCCCTTCCCCATGCCAGCCAATGGAGAAGCTACTCACTGGTGCCCACTGCCAGCCCAGCCAGAGTTCAGGTCAGGTCCTTGTCTCATGTGAGGAGTCTCAGTGGGAATGGGGGGCACGATGGCCTGTGGGTATTCCACTCAGCTTGAGGCTCCCTATGGAACATGATGTGTTCTCCAAAGACCGGAAGGTGGAAGTGGCCAGAAGGCCAAAGCCCAGGGAAGGGCTGAGAGAAGCCACTGACACCCGTGGGGACATCACAGACGAGTCCAGTGCCCAGGAGACCATGTGGGCTGGCACCCAGCACATATTCCCATCCTGGGGCAGCTCTCCTGTCTTCACCTTCAGAGGGTCAGGAAGGATAAGAGGGAGGCAGAAGCTGGACACCAGCTGGAAAGAGGTGGAAGGGACACTGCGTGGGTGAGGAACTTGACAATCTGGAAACACCAAGATTATTTTCCTATTGAGGTGACAGATCCCCTCCAGAGAGACTGCCTCCTCCTCCCACCCCCATATCCCACACCCGCCCAACCTTCACCTTCCTAGAGCCTGCACCCCACTGCCTCAGCTCTGGCGGGCCACAGGGTGGAGTCATGTGTGACGGTGGGTCCCTGTGCCCTGGAGCCCTCCTAGGGCCCTGAACTCTGACCTCTTTCCAACTGATGAAGAACGGGTGCACTCTGCCGGCTCCCAGGCCACCTCCCCAAATGTCAGTGTGTGTGTGTGGTGAGATTGTTGGCCCCTCTGGGCCTGATCTAGAACTTCCTCGGGTCAGTGGCCTGGGCAAGCATTTGTGTGCACACGACAGGGGTGGGCGCGAGCCCCTAAGAACTGAAGTGGGGAGTGGAGGAGAAGACGCAGGCCAGTGAGACTGATTTCCAGCGCGGTGGTGGAGCAGGAGGACCCTGATCAGCTTGCAGGTCTCTACGAGTGTTCACGCCACCCAGGAGCGGCGGGGGACCCGGTCCGCGGCCTTGTGCTGCGCCCCGACCTCCCCTACCATGAACAAACACGCGAGCGCCGCGGGTCCGTTCCCACCTTTAATTCCACTCCCCAGCCCGCAGTCGCCAAGGGCACAGGGCGGAGCCGGGGGTGGGGGGCCGCCTAGGTGAGCTCGAGGTGCCGGTCTGCGGGGATCCCGTAGCGAGCCTTGTGCTCCTCGAAGAGCTGCGTGAGGCGCTCCACGTAGACCGCGTGCAGCTCGTCCACCTGCGCGCGGCTGGGCCGCGGAGTTCGCTGCACCGGGATCGCCGCGCCCACTGCGGAGGGACGGGGCGATGGGAAGTCCCAGCTGCACCCGCCAGCCTGTCCGCCCTCGCCCTCGGGATCCGCCCAGACAGGTTCAGGGCCAATGGGGGACGACGCCCAGCAGCCCCTCGCCGGCGACACGACCCCTCCCCCAGCCCAGAGCGGAGCGTCAGGCGCGCAGGGAGCAAGGGGACCCCGCTCACCGACTGTGCGGATAGGCGCGCGGAAGGGCAGCGGGAGCCCCCCGCGGCCGTGGAACAGCGGCAGGGCCACGCGCAGGAAGGGCTGCAGCGCCACCTGCACCCTCCGCACCCACGAACCGGGCGGATTCGGGAACTGCTGGAAGACCTCGTTCTCCCCGAAGGAAAAGACAGGCACCAGGGAGGCCCTGGGGACACAGGCGACAGCTGACTCCTGGCCGCGCTCCTTTCCCCACGGGGCAGCCCAGGGGACCTCTGGGCCCAACATCCCAGACCCTTCCCTGCCCTCCTCACCCATGTTCCAGGGCCAGCTTAACGAATCCCTTCTGATTCCGGATCCGCAGGCTCAGGGCACCGGGCTTTGCCTCCAGCGCTTCTAGGGGCCCTCCCACTGCAAGGACAGCCACCTGGCCGCCCCCAGGACGGGACAGCAGATGGGCGGCGCTGGCCTTGTCAGAGGAGACCAAGCCTGGGGGAGACAGAGGCTGGGATGGACTCGACACCTGGGGCTTGCAGAGCAGAATGGGGAGGACTCTGGGGAGGCAGAGCTGGGCCCCGGTGCCCTCAACAGGAGAGGGAGGTGACAGCCAAGCTTGGGGGTCTCGAGGCTGGACTCCACCCCTCCTTACCACTGGTCATGATGTAGTCCCGGAAGAAAGGGACTCGGAACCAACAGGGCAGCATGAGCAGGTGCGGGCACAGACCAGGGAAGAGCCTGGAGAAGCCTGTAGCCTCAGTGCAGAAGTTGGCGAAGGCTCCCACGACCAGGACCCCATGAGGGTGGAAGCCAAAGAGATAGTTCTGGGAGGCGTCCAACTCCGCAGTTTTAACCAGCTGGGGAACAAATGTCACTCATTTACTGGGGCGACTGGGCTTTGGGGGATGATGCCCCAAGAGTCTATTCTGAAGCACCCTCCCACTGTTCCCAGCACACCTTACCCAGGCCCCTCACCGTGATGGGAAAGTAGTCACGGAAGTGTCTCCAGATGGCCCAGTTGCGGACCCAGGCTGAGCGGCGGCCTCCAGCCCTGGGTGTGTCTCTGTCTCTGTAGAGCCAGGTCAGGTAGAGGACCATCAGGATCCAGGTGCGGCCCAGGGCAGCGAGCAGCAAGGCCACCAGGCACACCTGGCCTGGGGATGGGGAGGCAATCAGGACCCAGGTGTTCAAGCCTGGCCTTGACAGCCTCGGCCCGGGTTCCACAGTGTTCAGGCCCTTCTGTGTGCCTGCTCACTGGGCTCCTTCAAGGACCCTAAAGGTCCCTGCACTGCCTGTCTGGGGGTAATGGGGAAGCAGAGCACAGTTGCCAGGTTTGCCTGGGTCCTGGAACTTTGGGGACTCACCAAGTCCCAAGAAGGAAAAGATCCATTGCAGGACGGCAAACACTTGGAGACCCCTATGAAGAAGGCTTGAAGAATCCTCCATGGTGTACAGGGTAGCTGCACAGGGCACTCTGGAGCTCTGAAGCACCCCCTTTGTGGCCCAGTCCATTGACCTTGAACCCTGGTCTGGGTTCCACCCCCTTTGCTGAATGGCACCCTGAGCCCTGTGAGCCTGAGCAATACAGCCTTATCACTCCCGGAGCTGGGGTGACCAATAGGAGCAAAGGGAAATGACTAGGGTGTGGCCAGGGGCTGGGTAAGGTGTTTGAACTTCCTGGCGGTGAGAACTCCCTCTTAAAGTGCCCTGAAGGCTATGCAGTCTACACCAGTGAGAAAGGATTGGGAAACCCTTAGCTGGGCACAGCGGGACACACCTGTAATCTCAGTACCGGGAGGCTGAGGCAGGAGGATTGCAAGTTTCAGCCCAGTCTGGGCAACTTAACAATTTGGCCATCTCAAAATAAAAAGTAAAAAAAAGGCTGGGGATGGAGCTTGGTGTGAAAGGCCTGGGAGTTTAATCTTCAGTACTGGAAAAAAAAAAAAAGCCTAAAACAAAAAACCTTAATCTGAGGTCCAGAATTTTTGGGGAAGGCAGGCTACCTACAGAGGGAGGGCCTTCTGCAGATGCTCTGGAGGGAAGAGTTTTGTGGGGAGGCTGAGGATTGATGAGTCCGAAACAGGGCCCACTGGGCTATGGGATAGGGCCTGACTTGTCCTCACCATCACCAAGTCTTCTAGCTTTATTGTAGGCAGCTAAATTGGTTGGATATATTACAGGCAGTTAGTTAAACCTGATGGGCTTTTGAGGGAGTCAATACAATTGAGACACTCACTGAAAGCCAGGATTCAAAAATGAGGAACTACTACAGTCACATATTTCCCCTAGGGATAAATAGCAGTGATTGATGTTCTAAACAGGCATCAATCACATTGGGTGGGGACCAAAACCTCCCTAGCCCACTCCTTCCCAGAAGTCCTTGTTCCTTGCAGGTAGGCTTGCAGACTCGCTTCTCCATTTGATCTCCATTTAATCAATATTACCTAAGCAACTATACTTGTAATCTTATTGGTTGACCCTAGTTTTGTCCTACCTCATACCTACCTTGTGATTTCCCATTGGATCAATATTACCTAAGTGACTGTACTTGTAACCTTACTAGTTGATTGATTACAGTTTTGTCTCACCTTGAACCCACCTCTTCTCCTGGCTTTGCTCAAAACACTGTTGAGAAATGAGTCTGGTCCCCCTTCTGTCTTTTAGATAGAAGCTATCTTTCTCTCAGTAAATTCTTCCCACTCTCAACCTCCATTGTTCCGAACTTGGCGTGTCCTGACATCTAGCAAGTTGGGAGTTATAACATTTCCGTTACATCATTTGGATTATTTGGAGGTCCATAGATCATGCGCCCTATCTGAGCATGTCCATGCCATTCAAGGGAACTCTGTTCCATGCTGACATCGTGGAGTACCTCCCCTCAGAACTGAGTCTGTTAAGGTCATCTTCCCCAGGGCATAAGCACTAAGAGGACAGCTATTATGTCTACCACCACAGCCCTTGTGATTCCCTAGGTGTCCGGCACGAGGTGGTCAATAAATGAACAGTGGGCCTGAGGAGACAGGCAGAGCCCAGGTCCCTCCACATGCTAGGCACACCCTTTCATCCCCCTGCCTGCCTACTCTCAGGCAGGTTTCTCTGTCCAGTCCTTGCCAAGAAGTCTTTTGTCCCCACTCAGCCATTTCCACCTGCAAGGCAGTAGCCAGTGTGAGAGGGATTTAAAACTCCAGCCAGAAGGGTGCTCAACCTATGTGCCTGGGTGATCAGCACCACCTACCAGGATGGCAGCCTCAGGGGGTGGTTTTGGGGGGGTGCAGAAGAGAGTCCGGCCTGGGTCGGGAGAGATGCCCCAGGATAATGAACAAGTCTGTCCTGTTTTTGAGAGAACTCCAAAAGGGAACAGTTGAGAAATTCAGAGTCTAGTGCAGGACTGGGGTAGAACAAGTTAAAGGAAGCTTCCCAGGAAGCTTCCAGGGGACGAGCCTTGGAATTCCGTCCTTTGTTTTTTTGTTTGTAGTTCAGACTGGCCTTGAACTCACTAGGTAGCCCAGGCTGGCCTCAAACTCACAGCAATCCTCCTACCTCAGCCTCCCGAGTGCTGGGATTACAGACGTGTGCCACCATGTCCACCTGGAACCCCCTTTCCCAGTCCCATCCTGCCCAAGTGACTGCCTAGGTCCCACCACAGGCTTCCAGGGGACTTCCTTTTTCAGCAGTGTCCTGGGAGCCTTGCTCAGGGCTGTGCCCTCCTGTCCCCTTCCCTAAGGAAGAACACTCCTGGATAAGGTGCTGCCAGGGAGAGGGTGCAGGGCTGCGTCTGCACCTAACTGTGACTCCTTTTCTCCCTCAGCCTTGTCAAGGGCTTGCTTCAGCAGCACATATACTGAAAAGGTCCTTGTCACACATTCCCCCAGCTCAGTCAGCAAAGAGAAGCAAGGAAATGGAACTGGGGAAGCTGGTGATCCCCATGAACCCATCATCCGCTCCCCACTTCCCCCTCTCTGAAGTCATCTGGGTGGCAGGAGGGTGACAAGGTTACTGGCAGGTCAAACATGACACGTGGACTCAAGAGTTACAAACCTTCCTTTACTAGAGGGAGGCTGAGGAACCTTAATAATTTATCACGGGAGAGCCCCCAGAAGCCCAGCACCATGAACCCCTGGGGGCAGCAGGAAGGGCAGGGGCTCCTGCAGCTTCCTTAGAGGCCGTGGATGTGGCAAGGGGACACATTCAGTCCTGGGCACTGGGACACACTCAGGAAGCAAGGCTATAGGCAGACACCCGTCTCCAAGGATGGGGGCCAGGCCCCCCAAGAAGGCACAATGGCAGTGAAGGCTTGGCAGAGTGGTTGAGTGTCAGGGATCCACAAAGGACACCATGATGTAGCGAGTCCCCCGAGTTGTGGGCAGCCCCTCGTGGTAGTGGGTGAGGCGGCCGGGGTGCAGGAGCCCCCAGCCCTTCCTCGGGGACGAGATGATGCAGTTGTAGCGCAGGAAACGGCAGCCCCCTCCCTGGGGAGAGAGAAGGGGGTGAGCAGACATGGGGTGGGGGACAGGTAGATACAGGAGGGGGGGTGCCAGGTTGGGGGGAGGCAGGACAGACCAGAAGGGCTGGGGCATCACAGGCAAGGGGAACACAGGAGGGAGGGGAGAGTCCACCTAGAAGGGACCCAGCAGGCATACACCCCAAAATACTGGGAAATGGAGAATAGCGCGGCCAGGGTCAACAAAGGCAGCTAGGGGAATATGGGGCGTGTTAAATGACAAAGGTCCCTAGGTGAAATGGGGGTCGGCAACTCCCTGGAACAGGACAGGGCTCACCTCATAATCCAGGCCCTTGTGGTTGAGGGCCACGTTGAGGGTGAAGGTAGACGAGTCGTGATGTGGCCGCAGTGAGGGTTGTTCGTCTGGCCGGTAGCGGACCACAAAGTTCATCACTGCCCTGGTCTGAGCGGACAAAAGGGGTAGCTGCAGGCAGGATCAGGGCCACTGGGGGCCCTGGCAGTGACGGCCCTCACTGACAGGCCAGCGTGGGTCTCAGCATGGCAGCTGCCTTCCCACCTGCCGTCCTGCACTTCTCATGGCCAGAATGGGTTCCGAGGAGCCCCAAATGCTCTACTGGCTGTGAGGGTTCCGTCTGACGACGCCCAAGTGGCACTGGGGTGTGGGCCCACCTTGGTGTGGTAGCCAGGAAACAGGTGCTCCGTCATGGGCCCCACGTATGTCCTCAGAAGCTGCAGCCACTGGTCCTCATAGCCCACCTGCTTCATGTGGATGTCCACAGTGGGCACGTTCTCGTACCCCCCAGCCAGCCGCGAGTCCTGTGGGCAGTGGGCACTGAGCCATCCACTGCCTGGGGCAGTGGAGTGCTGACCTCCTTCCTTCTCCTGTCTCCAGGCCTTACTACCAGGAAAACTGTCTGGAAGTCTTCTTTTTTTTTTTTTTTTGGCAGTACTGGGGATTAAACCCAGGGCCTTCACTCTGAGCTGCATCCCCAGCCCTTTTTTATTTCTTATTTTGAGACAGGATCTCACTAAGTTACTAAGTTGCCTGGGCTGGGCTCAAACACCTGCCTCAGCCTCCTAGAGTGCTGGGGCGATAGGTATGTGCCACCCCAGCAGGCTTCTCTTCTACTTCTCCGCATGACTCACTGCTCTTGGGCGTCACATCTCAGTTAAGATAAGATGTCATCTCTCCTGTGAAGCCCCTGGTCCCCATCTGAGCCCAGGTCCCTGCTTGGCTCTCCTGTACCTATACTCTCTAGGCCAGTGGCCCAGTAAATATGCTCTGAATGAATGAACGAAGAGTGCAGCAGTACTGCTGGGGGCTTCCTCCCAGTTTCGATCCCCCTTGCCACTCCCACAACCCCAAGCGTAGGGTCCCTCCCTCTGCACCCCTCACCTCATGCCGACCGCCTGACCACTGGCCGTAGTTCTCCATTTCCTCCACCAGCTCATCACACATCTGTTCTGACAGCAGTGGGAACCAGTACACATCTGGACAGGGCTGGGGACAGGGCATGGGAGGGCAACAGAGCTGTGAGGTGGCTGGAGGGCTGACGGAAGTGAGAAGCAGGGAGGCAGGGAGCAGGGGAGCCAGAGATGAGAGGAGGTGGGAGAAGGGTGACCCGAGCTAGGGAGGGCCCAGGCCCTGGGCTTCAGGGGCCAGCATGGAGGGGGTGACAGTGGGCAGGGACCCTTTGTGCCACACAGTACAGATGGCAGAAGCCTGGAGCTCCAGCAGGGGACAGTGGTTTTCTTCCATTTTTTTTTTGAGATAGGGTCTCGCTATGTAGTCCAGGCTGGCCCCAAACTCACTATGTAGCACAGGCTGGCCTCGAACTCGTGACAAACCTCCTGCCTCAGCCTCCCAAGTGCTGGGATTACAGGAGTCCAACATCACTCCTGGCATCGGACAGTGGTTTTCAAACTCCTTTCCAATAGTGCATCCTTCCTTTATTTATTTTTGGCAGCATTGGGGATTGAATCCAGGGGCACTCTATCACTGAGCTACATCACATTTCCCCTCCTTTACTTTGAGATAAGGTCTCTCTAACTTGTCCAGGCTGGCCTCAAACTTGTGATCCTCCTTCTCAGCCTCCCAAGGTACTGGGATTACAAGTATGTGTCATCATGCCTAGCCAGTATATCCTTCTTCAAAGGTGTAATTTTGGGGGGGCGGGGTACTGGGGATTGAACAAACAGCCTTCACACTGAGCTACATCCCTAGCTCTTTTTATTTTTTTTAACTTTGGGACAGGGTCTTGCTAAGTCACTAAAGTTGCCCAGGCTGGGTTCAACTTGTGGTCCTCCTGCCTCTGCTTCCCTGAGTGTGCTCCCATGCCTGGGTTAGATGTAATTTCACCCACAGCATCAATACAGATGGTCCCTGCCTCCTGATTCTGGACATTAGGACAGGTTTGTTAGGACACAGCCCCTTTGGAAACTAAGCGGCGTCTGAATACTCGGGAGCCCATCTGCTCAGCCTCTGCCGCCCTCTCGGGGCTCCTGGGAATTCAGTTTGAAAACTGCTAAGCCAGGTGAGGGCCAAAGGCACTGGCCTTCAGGGACGAGGTCTGAGGGGCTCACCTGCTCCACTAGATCCTTCCCATCCAAGGCCTGGCTGTAGTTCTCGTGAATGTACTGCTCCTTCCAGTCCTGCAGGAGGGTCAGGCGCCTGAGGGGAGGCTCTTCCTCCTCATTCAGGACCTGCTCGGGGTGCCCCCATGCACTGACGTCCTCCTTAGTATCCTCTGAGCGAAGGGCCCCCACTCACCACAGGGTTGTCAAAGATTTGCCAGAGGTCGGGGTGCAGGTGGTCCGTGTCATACCGGGACGTGGCCAGGAGCCGGCCAAACTCCTGCTGATTGCTGAGGTGCAGGAAGATGCCCTGGTGCAGAGTGGCAGTGCGCATGAGGACAGGGATGACACTAGGTGGTTGCCACCTCTGGGGTCCCAGCACCGGGCCCCCAGGCCAGCTGCTTGCTCACCCTGTCCCGCAGGTTCATGCAGAAGGCCATGTCTGGGTCCATGTCGCTGCTCGAGAACACCTCCCTCTGGGGCAGCTCCGTCCTCAGGGTCTCCCCTTGGATCAGGTAGGCCTGGGATATGTAGGGCACGTTCCACACGCCCCTGTGGGCACGAGTGCTGGGGTCAGCTAGGTGGCAGCTGCCCACATTCCACCCAGGTCATCCCAGGTGCTGCTTCTCTTGGGGTACGCTGGTCCCCAAGCCTGAAGGCCCTTCACATCCCCTGCTGAGCACTGTTGGCCATGACCACCTGGTGATCACCATCACCCCGGGCCCCTGAGAGGGCTGGGACAGGGGCTGGCCTGGGATGGGACTCACAGCCGCTTCCGTTGCACCAGCTCCACGTAGTCCTCGGAGCGGGCGTAGTACTCGTCAGGGCTCAGGGCCCCCCAGAAGTTGGACCACAGCTTGCCATGGCGCGACAACATGGGCGCGATCACCTTCCTGTGGCCAGGAAGGAATAAGGGCTGGGTGGAGGGGATGAGTCCTCGGGTTCCCTGTGCCCAGGGGAGGGTTGGGTGCCTGCAGACTCTGGGGGGCCCCTGGCCAGACCTGTTCTGCTCGATGAGGATGCGCAGGGTCTGCTGGTTGGTGAGGACAGCATCAGCATCCAGGCTGAAGTAGAATTCACACTCTGGGTCCTGCCGACAGGTGTCCCTGCAGGTGACAGACCCACAGACGGACAGATGAGCCACAATGGGACGAGAACTGGGGAGGGGACCATGGAACGGGCAGGACTCTCTAGTTCCCAAGGAGAAGCAGAGCGGGGTCAGGTTTTCCTTCCCCAGAGTCCCCAATGCCAGTGGCAGCTAGACAAGGGAGGGGACCACAGGCTGCATGTTTGGAGGTCTAAGGGGACTGAGCTGGTGACAGGAGAGGGAAGGGCCAAGGGTGGGTGGCCGCCCACCCGCCTGCTCCCTGCCATGCCCCCTCACATGGCCATGTCCCTCGCCTCGCCTGGGCTCAGGTCCTCCTCTGGCCCCACCAGCTTCACAGATTCGAAGTGGTCCTGGAGCTGTGGCCAGGAGTCTGCGATGTGAGGCTCGTGGTATACCTCCTGGGGGGACAAGGGACAGGGGACATGGGTTGAGTGGGCAGAGAGGGCGCCCTGAGCTGTGGGGAAGGTGCTGAGGAGGAGCGCCAGGTGCAGGGAAGGGGTCCAGGGAGAGGCTGCGGGTGTCTCACACTGTTGTGCAGGAAGAGGGTGACCCTGTCCGGGGGGTAGTCCAGGAGCAGCAGGCGCTGCAGGAAGCGGGGCAGAAACGGGGTAGGCTGTTCCACAAACACGGCCAGCAGCACCCGGGGGGGAGGCTGGAGGATGAAACAGGACACAGCTCAGGGGGAACCTGGGCTTCTGACTGTCCCCCACTCCGCCAGTACCCGGGAGCTACCTCTGGGTACCTGGACCTTTGCCCTACAGCCACCCAGAATCCTCCTAGAGCCTCTGTTCCAGGGGCTCCCACCTCACCTGCCCCCCCGGGAGTGTCCTCTGGTCCCGGTTGCAGAAGCCGCAGCCTCCCTGGGGAGTCCAGCCATTGGGGACATAGTTGCCCAGGTAGTTGAGCTGGAGCTGTTGGGAGAGATGGGAACAGCAGGGGCATCAGGGACAGATGTGAGGGAGGGCAGTCAGGGCCATGGCAAGGCCAGGCGTGAGGGTCACCTCTGTTGCTGGGGCTGGGGAGTAATGACTGCTCAGGAGGGACAGGGTACCCAGGGCTTGGGGCAGGCAGGGGCAGAGGCTGCTGGGGGGCACCTTGGTGGGGCCGTTTCCATGGACCACAACAGGGAGTGTGTCGTAGGCCACGTTCCGGATGCGCACCCGATTCCGGTCAAACTTTAAAACCACCTCATCTGGGGAAGAAAGGCCAAGTTTCAGAATCCCTATCTGGGGGAACTGCTGAGCAGGAGGTGCTTCTAAGTACGGGGGTCCCAGTTTCTCTAGAGGAAAAAGGGGTCCCTAAGGCCAAATGGTTCCTGGAATGTGGCTCTGTCAGGGCAAAAGCCTTCCCTCTCTTAAGGGTCCTGACTAGGCTACTGCCACCCTACAGAGGTCTGCCACATGATACCTGTGTCACCCAGTGAGTCACCAGCCCTCAGGGAGTGGATTTCCATATCTGTCTAAGGGTCTGTCCAAAGTGGACAGCCAGGGACCATCCCTTGGAGGATTGTGTGTTCGATGATATTATAGAGGTAAACCCCCCAGCTAGATACCTTGGGCACACAGTATGTGCCCAGGAGATGTTAGGACACCTACCACTGCTTTCATGCTTACTACTGCTAGCACTGTAAAACTGAAGCAGGTGTCTGAAGAATGTAACATAGGTGAGCTGCAGACCGGCCCAGCTCCACCAGGGGCCCGCAATCCAGGACCCCCGTAGCAGGGACCCCTTGTTGCTCACCGCTGGATGGCCTTCCTCCTCACCTAAAGCCCCATTGAGGTTCTGGAAGATCCGGGATTTATGATCCAGATTAAGGCTGAATTTCTCCTGGATGGGATGGGATGGAGTGGTTAACGACAGAGACAGGGGATATCATTTCTCCCTCTCTTCCCTTTTTGTCATTTTTTAATATTTTGTGGTACTGGGGATTGAACCCAGGGTTCTCACACTGAGCTGCATTCCCTTTTTTATTTTGAGACAGGGTCTCCCTGAATTGCTAAGTTGCCCAGGCTGGGCTCAAACTTGTGATTCTCCAGCCTCAGCTTCCCAGAGTGCTGGGATTCTCATCCTTTTCTCTTTACATCTCCCCAAGACCCCTTCCTGCCTTCTCACCCATTCAGCCTAAGGTTTGCCACACCCACAGGGATGTGGGGTAATCCACCCTCTGCCCCTTCCTACCCTGAGCCCTGGATCCAGGTAGAGTCGCGTATAGAACAGTTGGTCATCGTCATCATCCTTGTACTTCCACTGGTGGACAATTTGGTGGATGGTGGGAGCGAAGCCAATGAACCCTGTGGGGCAGGAGAGGGGCTGACCCCAAAACTCCTGGGGTCTCGCAGACCTGGCCCCACTCCCTCTCCAGCCCCCAGGCACCTGGCACACTCCATGCGCCTCCACTCTTGGGCCCTCTTGCCTCAGGCACCCTGCCACTCACCACCAGAGTTGAGGAAGCGCTTCCCCGTGCCCACCTCAGGGTACTGCTCTGCCAGCCCCCAGTCGGGCCAGCAGAAGCCCTCTGCAGAGAAAAGCAGGCGGCTGCTGCTCTGGACAAACTTCTTCAGCAGCTCCGTGGGGCTGCCGGCCAGAATCACATCATAGCTGGGCAAGGAAGTAGAAGATGAGCAGGAGGCCACTATGAACCTCAGCATCTTTATCTCTCCTCATGTTTTCCCTCTCCTTTTTTCCCATCCCAGCCCCTTACCTGTCTACAAACATGATGATCATGTCCTCCTGGTCTGCATATTTCTCCATTTCCTTCTTGAGCCACCTGACCTTCTGTCCTCCACCAACTGTCCGAGCCACATCACCACCTCGCCACTCCTTGCCCAGACCCAGGGTCTGTGGGGGGAGACCCGCCATGCCAGGGAGGGGTTCAGCCAGTGTGTGTGTGTGGGGGGGCTGCTACCGACCAGACTCACCCTAGGGACCGCTGGAGGCACAGTGGGCCCCACCTTACCCGCACAGTGTAGTTGAAGAATTCCGCAGTCTGCAGAAACCTGCGGTATCCCTCTGTCTCGGCTGTGGCCACGGTGATCACCAGCAGTTTCTCTGTCACCACCCAGGGATTGGCACTTGAGATCACCCGCTGCTCCGTGCTGCACGTGCTCAGCTCTCCCATAGGCCCCCTTGTCTCCCGCTAACTCCACCACAGTCCTCTCCTTTCCAGATCCCTCTTAAACTGTTCTGGCCCAGGGACATTTCCATCTCAGTGAAGTGTGGGAAGGAGTGACATACAGGAATTGAGGGTCAGTTTTCCTTGGGGAGGCTGGAACCCCCAGCTCAGGGTTAGGAGTGGGTGAGGGGCTGCTTGATTCGGCCCAAGGTGTGCCCTTGGCCGAGAGGGTGGACCCCCCTGGGGCCCTCAACCCCCCCCCCCAGGGTTGGGCTGGGCTGGCAGGTTAGGGGTGGGGCATGGGTTCTCACCTGGGTTGACCGGGTTGCTGGCCCGGGGCTGTTCGGAGGCACAGGTCGCTGGAGGCAGAGGCAGAAGGAGCAGGAGCAGAAGCCCGGGCTGGAGCAGAAGCCAGGGTCCCGAGGCCATGGCAGGGTGCAAGCCGGGCGGCCCAAAGGTCCAGACCCGGCTGGGCTGTGCGTCTGGACCCCAGCTCTGGAGAAAGTTCTCGGTAGAGGGAACCCGGGAGGCTGAGAGGCCCGAAGCTAGGAGGAGCTGGGCTGGAGCTCCGCCCTGGAAAAAAGGCGTAACCTGAGGCCACAGAAAACTCGAGATTGCCGGCGGCTGCGAGACAAGCCGTGGATTGTCCTTGGCGCTGGCTCGCAGGTTGCGCTGGGCGAGCAGGGGGGCGCCCGGCCGCGTGACCGTGAAGAGCCGAGGCTGCGATCTGAGCCTGCCGTGCACACTGCCCAATTGACAGCAAGGAAACCGAAACCTAGAGAGGGACGTGACCCCTGGGGAGGGTCCAGCGGGACGCGGGGGCGGGTCCTGTCCCCAACAGGGCGGAAGACTGGGAGAGCGAGGTGGTGGGGAGGGAGGAGGCAGAGGAGCCTTCGGCGGGGTTGCGGCTCAAGGGAACTGGGTCTGAATTTTCGGCAGAGGGCCAACCGGGAGGGCATTTCGGATTGCCGGTCCAAGCCTGCCCACTTTTCTTAGGCAATCTGCTGCCCTCGTGAGAAGCTCCAGGAGCTGCACGTGAGACAATGGCACCTTCAGAAGAATCCAAGGAAAATACTGTAACTCCAATACTATATCTCTACTAGCACCACTTCTTTAAAATTACCCATTTCGGGTCTTACAAATTTGCTCATTTACGCTGAGGCCGGAAGTAGTTTTGCCCCTACAAATCATGGCGGAAAGCTTTCTGGTCTCCAAGGGAACACCAAGTAGTGCCTACGCGGTAGATGATTTTGCGCATGCGTAGACATATAAGCACCGGAAGTAGTGCTGCTACGACCGCCTTTGGTTTAGTGCGAGCGCGCAGGGAGCTCTTCCGGCGTCTGTGTTGCGCAAATGGTGGAGAAGAAAACCTCTGGTATGTGAGCCCTCTCGGGTTTCGCCCCTTCCACCTCCCAGGTCCACACCTGGCTTCGGATTTGCTCACCGTTTTTCGTTTCAAATATATTCTCTGGCCCTCGGTTCCCGGTGTTGGGGCTGCCCCCAAAACCATTCATTCACGTTTTATTGATGCCTGCTACAAGCCGGTGCTGGGAATGAAGAGAAAAAATACTGTACCTGTTGTCCAAGAACTGGCTTTCTGGGAGGGGGACAAACACCCAAGCCTACCATTAATTTCAGAGTGATACGTGCCATGGTAGAGGGAGGCACTGCGCCCGGGTGCAGGGAGGAGTGGCACCCAGCCTAGCCCCTGGGAAAGAGGGGACAGGGATGGATGAGATGGAAATAAAAACGCTTAAATTGAGGCTTGAAAGTCGAGTTACGGCTTCGCCCCGTGGAGGTGTGCAGAAATTCCTTCCCAGCGACAAGGGCTGCACGAGGAAAGACAGGAAAGCAAGAAAAAACAGGTCTCTTAGAAAGCCACGTTCATAGTTTGGAGCTTCCAGAGAAGTAGTGAGAGAAGCCGCCAGACTCGGAAGAGGTTGGATTTTGAAAGGCATTAAGTACACACACTGCCGAGAGTCTGAACTCCTTGGAGAGAGCGGAGAGCCTCCAAATAAAGGCTTTTAAAGCTGGACAATGGCCAGAACAGATTTATCTTTTAGAAAGGCAATTCTTGCTTCAGTGTGGGTGGGGACTGCAGGGACTACAAGAGTGTCCGGTAGAATTTCCTGGGATTATGGAATATCCTTTTTTAAAAAAATGGTACATTTTATTTTATTTGTTTTGAGGCAAAACATTTATTGGTACATTTTTAGATATACTGTACATAATGGTAACGTTCATCATAGGGAGTTTGTACCCATACATGATATATCTTGCTTGTTTTTTTCTCATTCCCCTCCCCTCCCTTCAACTCCTCTTCCCCTCCTTATTTACAAAAGCTTTGATTCCATTTTTCTCCCTTTTATTCTTTTTTTTCCCCTTGTCCCTTCCTTCCTTTCCCCCTCCCCCTCCCTGGTTCCCCTTCTCATTTGGACATTTTCTTCCCAATATCTGTTATATATTTTGGTCCTTATTTACACTTTCAGTTTTTCACACCAGAGAAACAATGCAGTATTTAAACATGTGTGTCCGATTTATTTCACTGAAGAGTATGGTCTCAGAGTCCATCCATGTAGCTAGAAATGTCTCAAGTGTATCCTTCTTTATGGCAGAGTATCTTCTTTATGGGCATTTGGGCTGTTTCCAAGATTTAGCTATTACAAACTGTGCCACTGTCAACATGAATGTACATAGATTGCTGTGGTATGATGCTTTTAATTCTTTTGAGAAGATAACCAGAAGGGGAATAGCTGGGTCAAATGGAACCTCTAGTTTTAGTTTTTTGAGGATTCTCCACACTGATTTCCACAGGGATTGCACCAGTCTATACTCCCACCAACAGTGGAGAAGGGTTCCTTTTTCCCCACGTCCCCACCAGCATTTGTTATTGGTGGATTTCTTGATAACAGCCATTCTTTCTGGAGTGAGGTGGAATCTCAGTTTTGTTTTAATTTGCATCTCTTGAATGACCAGTGATGTTGGACATTTTTTCCATATATTTATTTGCCATGTCTATGTCTTCATCAGAGAAGTGTCTATTTCAGATGTCCATTTTTAGATTGGGTCATTAAATTTGAGGGGTGTGATTTTTTTGAGTTCTTTATATATTCTGGGTATTAGCCTTTTGTCTGAGGAACAGGTGGCAAATTTTTTCCCCCACACTATGGGTTGTCTCTCTTGACTCTTGGTTTCTTTTTTTTTTTTTTTTTGGTACTGGGAATTGAACTTAGGACCTTGCACTTGCAAGGCAGGCAGTGGAACCGCTGAGCTAAGTCCCCACCCCAACTCTTGGTTTCTTTTGCTGTGCAAAAGCTTTTTAATAAGATGAGATCCCAGTTGTTGATTCTTTGTAATACATCTTGTTCAATTGGGGTTTTGTTCATAAATGTCTTCAAGCGTTCTACTTGTTTTATCTTCCAGCAGATTTAGTGTTTCTGTTTTAATATTTAGATCTTTGATCTATTTCGATTTTAGTTTAGTGCATGGTGAAAGATACAGATCTAGTTTTAAACTTTGGCATGTGGAAAGCCAGTTTTTCCAGCACCATTTATTAAAGAGGCTATCTTCTTTTCAGTGAAGGTGTTTGGCTCCTTTGTCAAAGATAAGGTGGCTGAGTATGTTTAGAGTTGTTTCTGCATCTTCTAATCTGTTCCATTGATCTGCAGGTCTGGGGTTTTTTTTGCCAGTACCGTACTGTTGTTATCACAGTAACTTTGCAGTATAATTTCAAGGCAGGGATTGTGATGCTCCCTGCCTTGCCTTTGTTTAGAATTGCTTTTGCTATTCTAGGTCTCTTCTGGTTCCAAATGAATTTTAGGGTTGTTTTCTCTAATTCTGTGAGATATGCTATTGGTATTTTGATTGAGATTGCATTAAGTCTGTATAACAATTTTGGAGGTATGGCCATTTTCACTATATTGGTTCTTCCTACCCAAGAACAAGGGATATGTTTCCATTTTTTGATATCCTCTTCGATCTCCTTTAGTTACACAAGTTCAGGTTGATTTCTGGCTGTAAGGCTAGAACCTGATTTGTTCAGCCTGCAACACTCTATGTGCCTCCTGCAGGCTTTAACTTGGTTCCGCCTCACCCTGACACTGGGAGCTGCTAGATGGAGCCAGCTTGTAGCTACTCTGAGTTTGGTCCCTCTCCAAGATGGTTACCAACCAGTCGCCTTCATCTGGGGGATGTCTGAACCCAAATAACACACCAACCACTGCATCCCATTGCTTCCACTGCTATTTTCCACTGGTGCATTTCTCCATGGAGGCCTCCTCTGGGGTCACCAGTAGTTACTGTTTGTCTGTAGTTTTGAGCCACTCTTCCCACGCAGTGAGTCAGGACTCAAGGAGAAAGTGCCACTTACTGCCTCGGTTTTTTTTTGTTTTTTTTTTTTTTTTGGTACCGGGGATGGAACTCGGGTCCTTGTGCTTGTGCAGCAGGCCGCGAAACCACTGAGCTAAATCCCCGGCCCCCCACCTCCTTGTTTTACATTGAAGTCTCTCTCTTCACTCTACCTGTGGGCTTCAATTCTTACTTCAGATCTGTGCTGGGTCCCAGGGACCCACTTCCCTCTTTTTTCTCTTCCTCATGTTGCTATATTCCAAGGTCTGGACACCAAATGTCAGAGAGCCTGTTTCTCTGCTATTCACCACTCTGCCATCTTCCACTTATGGAATGTTCTTAACCTGTGTTGTTCAGTATGGGGCATTTACTGTGTGTGGCTATTGAGCTATTGAAATATGGCTAGTACAACTGAGAGCTGAGTTTTAAATTTTATTGAATCTTAATTAGTCTAAATGTCAATTTAAATGACCGCATGTGACTAGTGGCTACCTTGTTGTATAGAGTAGATCTAGAGGCTGGAAGTTAGGAACATATTGAAAAGTCCAGGCTGGTGTGGTGGTGCATGCCTGTAATCCCAGCCCTCAGGAGGCTGAAGCAGCACTCGGGATCACTGCAAGTTTGAGTCCAGCCTGGTCTACAGAGCAAGACCCTGTTTCAAAACAAAACAAACAAAAAAATAAATAGTTCAAAGAAAAAGAGATAAGGGCTAGGCAGAGTATGGTGACAAATGTGCCTGTAATCCTAGTTGCTCTGGAAGCCAAGACTGGAGTATTGCAAGTTTGAAACCAGTTTGGGCAACTTAGCAAGAACCTGTCTCAAACAAATAATCACAAAGGACTGGAGATGTAGCTCAGTGGTAGAACACTTTTCCTAGCATGTATGAGGCCTGCAATGAATCCCCAGTACTGGGGGAAAAAATTAGAATACTGCTAAATTGATTTGCAATAAATTAAATGATGTCATTCCTTAAAACCCCTCACCAGCTCCTCATTGCTCTTGGCAAAAAATCCCCAAATCCAGATTCCTGTAAATATCCCAAGGTAGGACTCAAGGATCTGGCCTGCCTTCTTCATCCTACCCCGTCCCCCACCACATGCACACGTGTGCTCCACACACCACCCGTCCTGAACATCCCTGTTAAAGGCCCCAGTCTCCCATCCAGGCCTTCTCTCATGCTGGCACCAAGGCTGAAACAGCCTCCTGTGTCCTGGACCAAGCTGCTTATGACTTGGGCCTCAGCCTACCCTACGTTGACAAATCTTCCCTGACCTCTCAAGGCCAGGTTGGGTATTTCTGTCATGTGCACCGTAGCACTTTGTACTTCCCTATCCTAACACACATTGTATTATACTGTGCTGGTTTATAGGTCACTCGTGTTCCCGAGACTGTAGGCCCTCATGTTCTTGGAACCTAGGGCACTGTGCTGTGCTGAGAAAGGAGGCAGTCTAGTGCGGTGGTCAAGGCCATGTGTTCTGGAATTGAATTTTGACCTGGTCCCTGACTAGTTGTACAAACTTTGGACACATTTCTTAATCTCTGAACATTAGTAAACTGAGGGTGAGGATACCTATTTCACAGGGTTGTTGTGAGGATGAAATAATTCAATTTATGCAAAGAGCAGGACCTCACCATGTAAAAATTCACAGATGCTCAAGTCCTTCATATAAAATGATGTTTTTGCATAGACCCTGTACATATTCTCCCATACACTTTATTTTATTTTTATTTTTTATGTTTTGGTACTGGGGATCGAACTCAGGACCTTCTACTTGTGAGGGGGGCACTGGCACCACTGAGCTAAATCCACAGCCCACTCCCATAGACTTTAAATCACTTGTGTTGCTTATAATAGCCCAGTGCAACGTAAATACTTGAGACTTGTTCAGAGGATGACAAGAAAAGTCTGTATATGTTTAGTACAGATGCACAAAACAAAAAAATTAAAACAAAATATATTAATAAATAATAAATGCTTTTTTTAAAATTTGGAGATTGGATAAATGTACAGCATAAAAGGTCCATTCATTTGTAGTCTGCAGCAGAGAGGCAGACTTGGATGGGAAGATTTTCATTTTGAGTTGTATTGTCATTGGGGTCAGCAATGATGTCCTGCAGCTGGTGACATAGCCAGTTCCATGTGGAGTCATCTGCTTATGGGAAATAGAGCCCCGCGTTAGGATTAGAAAAGCCAGAAAAAGGGTATGGACAGAGAGAAGAGGAATAGGATAGGCAGAGATGGCACAGAGGCAGGGAGGGCAGCTGACTCGGGGGAGGGAAGAAGGAAACCTGGAGTGACATCAGGGAAGGCGCTCAGCACAGTCAGTGTAGAGAGGTCAGCTGGAGGGAAATTCTACAAATGCACCTTGGGTTTGGCTTGAGGAGGTCACCAGTTGCCCACACGTGGGCAGTTCTTATTGGACAGTCAGGCGGGTGTCAACCTGCTGGGGCTGGGGAGTGGACAGGAGTTGAGGTGAAACATCACTAGACCCCTCTTGGCAGAGTGTAGCTGGGACATTAGTGACACATGAGAGGTTAGCAGGGAGCATTCAATTGATGCCAGCGGTGAGCAGCGGGCTCCCTAGGGCTCAGGTGAGGTATGCATTTACCACAAATGGGGGAGGTGAGCTTAAAGGTGAGTGTGTCTATTTGGGGGTGGGCCCTGTCCCTCAGCGGCAGGACAAAGATCCCAGGGGAATCTGGAAGCCTTGGGTGTGCAGTGGCCTCCCAGTTAGCCTGGCCTTGTGTCCTCAGGCAGGTGTCACAGGCTGGGTCCCCAGGGCCACAAAGGAAGCACGGGAGGCTGAGAATAGCTCAGCTAGCTGGGAAGGAAGCAGGCTAGAGGACTGACGGCAGGAGAAGATACTGGGACATGGGCTACCAAGATGGGACCAAAGCCTGGAGCTCCCACCCTCTGGCCATCTTGCACACACTGCCCTGACCCAGGGCTACCCACTGCCCCTCTTCTCTGTTCCCACGTAAATCTCCTTGCCCTTCCCTATCCAGTTCGCTCCCAGGACCCTGGCCAGCGGCGAGTGCTGGACCGGGCAGCCCGGCAGCGTCGGATCAACAGGCAGCTCGAGGCCTTGGAGAATGACAACTTCCAGGATGACCCCCATGCAGGTCTCCCCCAGCTCGGCAAGAGGCTGCCTCAGTTTGATGATGATGCAGACACCGGTGAGGAAGGGGACAAGCCAGCCCAGGTGGGGACTGTGGGATGCATTGGGCTGGAGGCCGAAGACTGGGAGCTCTCAGCTGCGCTGGTGATAGGCTCCTGGGTCTGTGAGTAGTCACTCTCTCCTGCTGTGCCTCAGTTTCCTCTTGTGTGACAGTGAAGAAGATGGAGTAGATGAGCTGACATAGGCCTTGGATTTGGGGTGTACGGAGGTGATGGTGGGTGAGGATTGGTGAAGTGGTGGTGAGGGGCAAATGCTTATAGGGAAGGAAGGCTCAGACCCTGGGCAGTGTGGGCAGGGACTGCACCCAGGGGTCTGGGAGTACCAAGGTGGTACCCTTCTCCACAAGTGCCAAGCAGCTCATTGCTCTTGGCCCCCAGGAAAGAAAAAGAAGAAAACTCGCGGTGATCACTTTAAACTTCGCTTCCGAAAAAACTTTCAGGCCTTGCTAGAGGAGCAGGTGAGAGAGCCGGTGGGGTGGTTGCCACCAAGGGTGAACCTGTGGAGATCCCATCCCCAAGGGTGTGAGCTGCATAGCAGGGTACAGCTGCCTGCTGTTATCTCTGCAGAACCTGAATGTGGCCGAGGGCCCCAACTACCTGACGGCCTGTGCAGGGCCCCCATCCCGGCCCCAGCGCCCTTTTTGTGCTGTATGTGGCTTCCCTTCCCCCTACACCTGTGTCAGCTGCGGTGCCCGCTACTGCACCGTGCGCTGTCTGGGCACCCACCAGGAAACCAGGTAAGCCCGGGCTGCACCCACACCCACAACCCCACCCCATGGCCTCCCCAGGCCCCTGACTGTTCTCCTTCTCCTCCCGGGCTTACTCTGTCTGCAGGTGTCTAAAGTGGACCGTGTGAGCCTCGTGTCCCTGAAGAGGAAGGGCCTCAGTCCACCACCAGCCTCTGAAGAGCATGACCAAGAGAAGCGCCCCCGGACGGAGGGAGGAGCCACTCACCCACAAAGCTGTGTCCTGCCCTGGCAGGCCAGGCTCCCTCAGGAACTGTGGGAATAAAAAGCCTGGTGCCAGGAGCCTGCCTGCTTGGTCGTGGGTGTTTGGGGTGAGGGTCTGTCCTTCTCTCTCACTGCTGTCTTTTCCTCTCTGACTTGGCCATTCACCCCTTCCTTTGTGTGCCCCTTGGTGTCCCTGATCAGGAGATTTTGTCCCATTCTGCTGCCTGTCCCACAGCTCATCTCTGCCTCTCCTGGCTACCGCTTCATGTCTTTTGTGGTTATTGATCCAGGTTTTTTTTTTTTCTTTTTATGTCTGAGCATTTTCAAAGTCCAGCCAGATTCCTGGGTGACTGGGAAGTGGGTTGAGGGCTGGGAAACAGGCACAGAATGATGCTGCAGAAGGAGCCAGGCTTGTCTTTGTCATCTGATATTTAACCAAAAGGTTCCTTGTCCCTGTGCCACCACGCTGAGGGAGCAGTAGTCCTTGGGAACCCCCTGTCGTCAGGGGTGGTGGTGTGCAGACCCCAGAAGTTCCTGGGAAGCACAGGAGGAGTCCTGTCCTTGGTGGCCTTCTGACACTAGACCTTCTCAGATCCTCACTTGTCAAGTGGGTAGCAGGATGTAATCTCATAGGCTCCGTGGAGTCTTTGGTTAAGCACTCAGCAAAGCAGGGGCTTTGTTTTTGGTTTTCGGGTTTTTTTGGTACCGGGGATCAAACTCAGAACCTTGCGCTTGTGAGGCAGGTGTAGGGCTTTGTATTTGTTAAGCAAATGAATTTAAAATATTACTGAGGTATAGCCGGGTGTAGTGGCCCACACCTGTAATCCCAGCACTTGGGAGGCCGAGGCAGGAGGATCACTGTGAGTTTGAGGCCAGCCTGGGCTACATAGTTCAGGACCCGCCTGAACTACAAAGCGAGACCCTGTCTCAAAACAAACCAAACCAAACAAAAAAATTAATGAGGTGCAGCAAAGCCAATGCTGAGCACTTTTAGGCTCTTCCCTCTGCTTTAGGGGACAGTGTTTTCCTGGGGACCTGCTTTCCTTTTCTTTGAAAACTCACATCAGGACAAGTGGTGTGGTGACAGCTTCACATTGGGTGGTGATGGCAGCCATAGGGTTTAGGGATAAAACAGGTATAGTGGTTTTAAAAGTGCCTTTGGGCTGGGGATTTAGCTCAGTGGTGCCACTGCCTGCCATGCAAGCACAAGGTCCTAGTTTGACCCCCAGTACCAAGAAAAAAAAGTGCCTTTAAATTCTGTATTCTTTCATCCAAAGCTGGGTGTTTGTCCCCTGGCCCTGGAACCTGAGCCAGCCTGTGACTGCTCCCGCAGCAGAGAATGTCTGGAGTTAGAAAAGTGACATCTAAGGCTAGGTCAGGAAGGCTGCACAGAGGGGCCACCGGCAGGGACCCTCGCTGTCAGGCCCGTGAGCCAGGCTGCCATGCCCTCCCTGCCCAGGTGCCAGTAGTAGCATGGAGATGCCTTCAGGTGATTCCAGCCCCTGGCATCAGGGCACCTTCAACCCTTTGTCTCCCCAACTGTGGCCTCTACCACCATGGAGCAGAGACAAGCCGCCTCACTGTGCCAGTCTGAATCCTTAGCCACAGAGGCTATGTTCGTAATAAGTAGTTGTTTGTGCTGAGTCCTGGGGTGGTTTGTGAGCAGCAGCAGTAATGGGCACCAGGAGTCTGGCTGGAGGCTGCAACTCCCACCTGGGCTTATTGTTTCTCTCAGAAAGTGAAGCTCTGGGATCTGAAGCTGGCCCTCCTTCCCTTTGCCCTTTCTACCACAAGTACACTCAAGCCGGAAAACAAGGAGGAAAGACTTTCTAGCTGTGAAACACTGCCAGATTTGCAGCAGTCAGCAGTCTCCTTGGTTCATTCCTCCTTCCCTGTCCTTGCTTCCTACCATCTTGTCACAGCGTCACACAGGTTCTGCTTGGTGTGAGGTCTCTCCCCACCTTCCCAAATGACCTTGAGAGAACCCCAACAGTGTCCCATTGCTCTGATGCTGCCTGGCTCCGTGAGTCTCCTGTGGATCATGTTACAGGAAGCATGGGCCTGTAAACTAGAACTGTAAGCATGTAAACTAGAACCCCCCAGGAAGGCCTGAGCAGCTTTGCCAACTTGCTTTGGGCCAGAGAAGACTTGTTCCTCACCTTGGACGATACTTGGTCTTTGGGAAATCTATGCTTTGCCAAAAGCTTCTAGAAGCTACCCTTAGTGTCAGGATAGGGGCAGCACCACCATCCTGGGAACAAGGGAAGAGGAGAGGTTAGTATCAGGGTCTGGAAGGCTGGAGACTGGGCCCCCCAAAGTTCCCCCTGAGCACTGCATTTAATTAGGAGAGCTAGGGATTCTGGGAAGCAGGGCAGTTTTATTTTCAGCTTTGGAGGATTTCTGGCCCTTACCAGTTGTGCAGTGTAGACAGGTCCTTTTGCCTCTCCCCTGGTCTAGCCACCTCCTACATTACGGCAAGAAAGAGACTGCCTTGCCCAGTGCCCTTAACCTAGTGGCCATATTAAGGCACATACCTAAGTGCTCAGTTGGAGGACTCCACTCAGGTTAGTGTCCTGAAAGGAAGTGGTGGAGTTTACAGGCAAGTAGACAGATTAAAGAGAAAGGGGGCTGCTGGCCTGGGGCCCTGTTCCCCTCTTCTCCCACTGGATGCCAGGCTTCTGTCCAGTCTCGTTTTCCTCTCGAGTGGCTATCAGCACTACTCAGTACCCACTGGGCTGTGCCAAGGCTGCCCACAACCCAGAACCTCGTGTGAGCTTAATGCCGCCAAGCTTTGCACACAGTCTTCAGAGCCTTTTTTGGGAAGTTATTGAGCCTCCCAAAGAAATGGGCATGCACTCACCCAGCTAATCTGGAGCAGAGCTCCAAATGGGCTGCCCATCCCTGGTGTCCATGCGAGCTCCAGTAAGGAAACTGCCCTAGACCAGCTCCCCAGCTGCAGCTGTGGGAAGACAGGTCCACAGCAGAAGTGGGGCTTGCTGTCTCCAGCTGGCCAGGGATTCCCCTGCAGTTTCCAGGTTCCTGGGCCTGGGGCTTCCCATATCTGCCCCTTGGTGACCGAAGTTATTGTCACCCTCTTGTTTTGCTGAAGGAGACAGCTGTGTTTCTTGGTGTTGCCTCCCACCTCTTGCTGGGCTGGGCACTTAAACTGACATTCTCAAACCCTGAGGAATCACAGTGTACATTTATTTATGCATGTATTTATAGAGAACGCACACACTGGGAGACGCCTTCATCCCCTTGGTCCCGGAGGCCTAGGCGAGTTTTGAGGAGCAGTTCTGGGCCTGGGAGGGCCAAGAGTGCCCAGGTGAGGGGCAGGTTCTGGATGTGGCTCAGCTGGACGAGGCTCCCAGATACAAGATGTAGCTTCCAGACACAGGGCATGGCCTGCCCTGAGGTCATTCCAGGGAGGATGAGGTCCTGGGGCCAGGGCTCTACATGCCAGAGCTCCTACACATAGGCATTTTTGCCGTATTTGCCAAAGCTGATGTCGCCTTCTTCCTGTGAAGCCACAGAGGGCATCTGGACTGTGGACGGCTTGTAGGGAAGATGGGCCCTGTTGGGAGTGGGGGCGCAGGGTCACAGGGAGGCTTGGCCCTCGAGCCCCACTCGCCTTTCTGTTCACCCCCTCCCTACCTGGTGACGCGGTCCTCCTTTGAGGCACAGCAGCAGTTGGAGCAGAGGCAGATGCCACCCAGTATGGAAAGCAGGGAGGCACTCCAGCCCAGGTAGAGGGCAGGGCCTAGCTCATACCTGAGCGCCAGGGCATGGGAAAGGTACAAGAAGTGAGTGCCAACCTGGGGCACTGGAGACCCACCAGCTGCCCCCGAGGGTGGGCCTCTAACTCACTTGGTTCCAGCATACAAAGGGTTGAAGAAGTCCTGGGTGATATTGATCGCATACCAGGTGATGGCCACCATCCCACAGGTCCCTGAGAGGTGGGAGGACCAATAGTGCCCCTTAGCCACAGCCCAGGGTGATCAGGGGCTTGGGGAAGGGGCAGGCAGGGGGAGTAGGTCAAGAGCAACAGTTTCATTCAGTTCCTCCTGTTGTAGCCTATAAGCCCTCCTATTCCTGGGGTCAACTGTAAACTTCCCAATTTGGTTCTCAGGCCCCTACCCCAGCCCACACCCTGCTACCACTCTGGCCCAGTCAGTTGCCGCCTTGTTTGTCCCAGACCAGCCTTGTTCAATCATACTCGAAGGGCCTGGGCCACTCCCCTCCTCATCTGGAACCTGACTATCCCAGTCTTCCCTGCCTCCAAAACCCACCTGCCCAAGAAGTCTTCCTGCCTACTTCCTTGCAGTCCTTTTCCCAAAGCCCTGAGCCCTGGGCTGTCCTCCATCCACACTCATGGAGGGTTGTCCTCCAAAAAGCCACCTGACCTCTCTGACAATCCCCACCACACCTGGCAGCTTACTGTGAAGCCATGTTACACAAATGTGCAAACTGAAAAGCTATGGCCAGTTGACGGCCTTGCTATGTGCAGAGTGTGTGTGTGTGTGTGTGTGTGTGTGTGTGTGTGTGTGTGTGCGTGCACATGCAGAGCTCCCCAAGCTCTGGAAGGAAGTCCCACACCTGGCTCACACCTGCTTCAGTGGGACCTCAAGAAACACTGCTGATGCCATGAATCGGATCCCAGAGACGAGGAGGGTACAGATGGGGTGGGGTGTACGGATCTGAACAGCAGAGGTGTCAATGCCATGGGGAAGGCGAGGCAAGCCCCAGGTTCAGGGAGCTGGACATGAGGGCAGAGAACCCGGGGCCGCCCCTAGGCCTCACCACCACCTTCCCCCATTACCTGCCAGCATGTGTAGGGCCCCTGCGATGGCCGCCAGCTTGACTTTTGTGGAGAGCACCAGGCTCCCAATGTTGATGCAGCGCAGCCCCAGCATGCCCAGGAAGAGGCCCAGGAAGCCCAGGAGGATGGCGGTGATCATGAGCGCACGGCAGCCCTGGACATACCCTGGGGAGGGAACACAGCTGTCAGCCTTTCCCCTCCACCAGAGCCAGCCCCGTTCAGCCCCTGCTCAGGCTTGGTTTCTTGTCTGGCCCTTCCTCCCTCCCTTCCTCTCTTTTGCTTTCAGTACTGGGGATTGAACCCAGGACCTTCCCACTGAGCTACACCCCCCAACCTACCCCCTTTTTAATTTTGAGACAGGGCATGTTAAGTTGCTGAATTGCCCATGCTGGCCTCAAACTTGCAATCCTTCTGCCTCAGCCTCCCAGAGTGCTAGGATTATAGGCATGCACCAACCACCATGCCCACTGCCTCTTCCTAAAAGTCCTCTCCTTGCCCTATGGGCTCCATCCAAGCCTCCCTCCTTACGTACCTTGGCCATCCAGCCTGCAGCCCTGCTCTGCTCGGGGCACACTTCACTGATAACTCTATTACAGGGTTTCTCCTGGGCTCTATGGCACTTTGGGGCAGATGCTTCGTTCGGGGACCGTCCTGCGCACTGCAGGGCTCTCGGCAGCATCCTCACCTCAACCTACTAGACGCCTGCAGCAAGCTCTCCCTTTCCCCCAAGTTGTGGCAATCAAAGTGCAGTCCCCTCAGCTGAGACTCTATCAGACCACGCCCACGTTCTGTCTTGTATTATAGAAAGTGCATCTGAGCACCGGCTCCCATACCATCTGCTCCCTCTCCAAGTCGAAGTCCACACTGAGCCTAGCACAATGTAGACATCTTGAGCTGAGTTTCCTCCCAGAGTAACCAGTAGGGGGCAGCAGTGGCTGCTTCTGATCCAGAAAGTGGGATACCTTGACCCTGGAAGATCCAAGTCAGTCTAGCCCATAATCTTTCTGTGCCTCAGTTTCCCCTTTCTCAAAGATGAGGGAAGCTGTAAGCTCCCTCCTCCCTTCTCTGTCTTTGTTGCCAAGCACTCCCAAGGACCTTGCACCCCTTTCCTGGTTGGGGCAGGAGCACGGGTGCTGAAGGGGAAAGACTGGGTTCCTGCCAGGAAGAGAAGCGGCTGGGAGCTGGGGGTAGGGAGGAGGGACAAAGTTCTCGGGAGGATGTTCTGTTCTGACTCCCAGCCACTCTCTTCAAAGTTGCCCCCAACTCTCAGTGCCCAGGGAGCTCTGGTGGCCAAATGAGAGAAGACAGCAGGGCCGAGTGGCCCAGGAGGTTATTTCATGGAGGAAACAACTGGGGCCTGGGGTTGGGCTCAGTCAGCGGGGTCCCCATGGCCCCTACCACCTCTGTGCCTTTGGGCAGCTGCTGTAAAATGAGGTAACAGTGCCCAGCCAGAAGCAGGGCGACTACAGGGACCGTGAACCTGCCCAAGGAGCAGTGCACAGGGAACTGAGCACCTCGCTCCTACATCTGTCTTCTTGCAGGCCAATGGCAGCAGGGCCACATGGCAACTCTTTGGGACACAGACCTATGGCAAAAGCTGGTCTCGGTACAGGGCGAGGGCTGGGTACAGTAGTACAGCCGGGCTACTGAGCTAACTGCCGCCAGTCTCTTCTGGCACCCAACCCACATTGGACTCAGCGTTTTCTTTTTTGTTTTTGTTTTTTCTGGCAGTACCACTGAGCTACTACACCCCTAGTACCCAGGCCCAGCCCTTTTAATTTTTTTTTTTTTTTTTTTTTTTGAGACAGGGTCTCTGTAGTTCAGGCTGGTCTTGAACTCACTATGTAATCCAGGCTGGCCTCAAAGTCACAGTGATCCTCCTGCCTCAGCCTCCTGAGTTGAGGTGAGTTGACACCTCACCCAGCTGGATCAGCCTTTACAGTGTTTTGAGAGCACTTGTCCTGCACACAGTAAACACTGGAGACTGATGAAAGCATAAAGCCCCACAGCTGCCTCAGGAGAGTCAGGGAGAGGGAAACCACACAACTGCTCAGAACACCTTCGGCATTCACAGGGCAGTTGCACACCCACTGCTGGCCTCAGCTTCTCCCCGCCTGCCTAGCACCTGGATTCAGTGCCTGGAAGAATGAGAGGGCTCCCAAGGACCTGCAGGGGTTGGGAGTGCGGGTGGGGGGTGCACCAAGGGTTCACAGTTATCAACTCTTGGTCTCTAGCAGGGGCAGACTAAGGGAGGCTCTGGGGGGAAATGACAGGGCCCAGTCCAAAGGGGTGAGCAGGAGGCAGGAGGAGGTGCAGCCATCAGTACTGTCGGGGCCTAAACCAGAGCTGTCAGCTGCAGCACACTGAACTTGAGAACACAGTACTGAGAAGCCCAAACACATCTGCAAGTCCACCCGGCACCTCTTTACAGGGGATACCCCGCCTACGAGGCGCCTCCCACTACAACCAGGCCCTGACACGGGCACTCCAGAGCTCAGCCTGGCAAGGAGGCCAGGCCCATGGACACCTGGGGACACTGCCGAGACCTCAGAATATCACCACCAGCAGTCCAAGATGGAGTCCCCTGCCAAGCCCAGCAATCCCACCCCATAATAAAACATTAGAATGCATCCAGTGCACCTACGCAAACAGCGAGTTAACAGCTGCAGGCTCTGTCACATACAGTCCTCACAGCCACCTGCATGTCAACTATGCTGCTGCTATCCTAAGCTTGCAGATGGCCGAGACAAACCTCATGAATCACCTGCACAGAGCCAGCTAGCAAGCCAGGAGTTGTGCCCGGCAGCTTGACTCTGGTGCCTGATCCTGTAACCACGGACAGAGGGCCACGTGTCACAAACTCTCCATTTCCAGACCAGTTTGTCCCCAGAACTCCTGGCTGCATCAGTCCAGGACCCAGAGCTTGACCCCAGCCTCCCTGCATCCTTAGGATGCCAAAGCCAGACCAAAGGCAGCTGCTGCCCACTTCTGGGGTCTTCCCACCCTCTACCTCCCTCTGCTCCCGGGGCTTTCCCCAGCCTGTACCAGAGAGGGCCAGCATGGATGGGAACTCCCAGCAGTTGGAGACACCCAGGGAGTCGGTGGCACAGCTATACCAGAGGTTCTCGTAGATAGTGTTGGTAGTGATGACATTCCCGTGAACGGTGGACACTCGCCAGTAGCTGTTCGGCAGCGTTACTCCCAGCATCAGGAGTCCCAGGGCTGCCACAAAGAAGCCAAAGGTCTCCACAGCTATCGACATCCTGGGATGGAGGCCCCCAAGGGGCTGGGGCCCCACACGGGCAGGGTGGAGCTGCAGGGATCCCCTGGGGAACTCAAAACAGCTCTGGCCAAAGACAAGTGTTGAACCAGGGAGGGAGAGGAGGGTGGAAGTCCAGCGGCCCCTGTCTGCCTCCTCCTCTGGCTCAGGTCTGGCTCCAGGTTTCTGTCTCCCTCCTTCCTGGGTCACTGCGCTTCCCAGCAGGTCAGAGGAATGAGCCCAGTGCGTTTGGCAGCTGTTGACAGGAGATGCAGAATAAACGGGCCAAAAGTCCACCCCCTCCCCCAACCTCCCAGCTCCCGGTTCCCCGCCCCATGAAGGAGGGGGAGCAGACTTACCCAGGAGACTAACGGATAGGCCAGGAGGGGCCCCACGGGAGGCACTGGGCGCCAAGGGGAAGTGGCTGTCTCTGACTCAGCTTTCATTGGGGGCTGGAGAATGGAGTAAGAGGGACAAGGAAGGTAAAGGTGACCGAGAGACCTGAGAGGAACAGGAGACAGACAGAGAGATGAACTCCAGCAGGCTCACTGCAGCCTTTCTGTGAAGGGTTGAGGTAACAGAACCACCTCAAATGGTGAGAACTACCCAAGACACTCAGGGACCTAGGGGTTGGGACACTTAGGTCTCTGGGAAGATGGATGATCGAGGAGGAAGTTGGGGGAGACAGCCAGCTCTGGAGTCTGGCCCACCTGGACTCAAACTAGATTCCATCACTTCCCGGTGATCTGGGCTACTCATTTCTGCTTCTGGCAACTAGAGATACTACTACTGGCTTCACAGATTGTCACAGATTAGGACCACCAATCCCTGCACATCCTCGGGGACTGTCTTGGATCTGAATGCTGCAGGCAGAGGGGAGGCCACCAGAGTTGCATTCCTCCACATTTCCTGAACTTGAATTTCCCCCTCCTTGAGCTGACCTTTGACTCGGCATCGAGCTTGATCTTGCTGCCAAGGAGCCCGGGGTGGGTGGGGGGTGGATCACAGGCCCAGGACGTGATCCTGTGGCTAACCTCACCAGGTCAGTGCCAGGGACTGTAACGGCTCCTTAGTTATGATGGATTAGAGGCTCTGGGCCCCACCCCGAGCCAGTCTGAGCACCTGTCCCAGTGAAACTGCTCTCATTTCCTTCCCCAAGACTGGAGCTGAGACAGCTCTGCTTCTCTAGGCAAGGGACACTGGGGCTCGGTTCCTGTGAGGAGACAAGACTGCACTGGACTGTAACTGCCCATACCTCCTTTCCTCCATCAGGCACCAGGCCCCTCTGTGCTCTCCTCAGGTGCCTCCTCCTGCTGTGGCCTGGCAGGGCTGTGGAATGAGCGGTATGCAGTGATGCACACGGGCCCACGCACAGCCTGGCACGAGAGGGTATGGGGCGAGCCTAGCTGGGTGGAGCCTGGCTTTCCCACCCATGGGCTGTAACTGGGGCACCATGGGCCCTGACCTACCCACTAAGACCTTTGCCTGCTCCACGCTAAGTGAGCTTCTTTCCCACCACCACTGGTCCCCTATTCCCCTAGGGAATGGGGCAGGAGGAAGGGGAGGGCACAGGAAGACAAAGGGAGGGAAGGGCGGAGGTTTGGAGGAAGCCCAGTGCGGGCCCCTGGCGTGGAAAACTCCATGGGCCAAGAGGCAGCTGAGTGGATCAGAGGAGACTGGAGTCATAAATCCCAGGCTGGCTGCTCGGCATTGCTGCCTCCCCTCCTGATCACTGCTCTCTCCCAGGACTTTGGGGGCATCAAAAGGCCATGTCTCCATTCTGTCAAGGACATGGCTTTGGGGAAAGGAAGGAAGGAAGGGTGTGGGGTGGGCACCACATCAGCTGGAGGGTAGGAGCAAGGGGGCACAGAGCACGAAGGACCACCAGTGGCCCCCTCTCAACTCAGACACACAGTTCCCAAGTTCGGCTCAATTTTATTTACACTCATCCCAAAGCACATGACTTGGGGCTGAACAACAGGTCTCAGGAAAGTGGAGGCGGAAGGCCCCAGAGGACAATGACAAAGGTACAAGGGAGAACAGGAAAAGGCCCACAGGGATGGATGGCTCCTCTTTGAAAAGTGCCTTAGGGCTCCCCGGGCAGAGGAATGGGTGCAGTCTTCTTCAGGATTTCGACTTGGACACAGCCAGTCCGATGAGTCCAGCCAGTCCCGCCACACCCAGGGCCATGCCACCAACGATGGCCATGCCCACCAGGCCATCTGGGAAAAAGAAAGCGGAGGGTGTTAGAAGCTCAGCCCAGCCCCCCCAAGGACCCTGACCATGGCTTCCCCAGCCTGCCGCTCCACAGAAGAGGTGCACCTCCACCTGGAGTCTCCAGGCTGAGATCCAAGGGTTGGGGACAAACAGCTTCAGGAAGGTGGGTTTGAAGTGACTTCTTGGGGAGGGGGGAGGAGGGGTTCCTTTAAAGACACTCCAAGGACCCAGGCATGACGGGGAAAGAGGATTTAACAAAGGGTGAGGATTTCACCTTTCTTCATGGCCTTGTCAATGAGCTGTTCCAGCTCCTTGGCCTGGTTGTTCTGGGGCTCTGTCTGCAGCAGCCCTCGCACGTACTTCAGGGCCTTTTCATATTCCTGCACTCAAGGAAAACACCGCCCCCATCATAAGCGCCGGGGGACCCTACCATCCCTCTGCCAAACTGGGGCACCTTCCCTTCTCCAGCCCAGGGCTCCTTCCTCCCCTCCTCCTGCCATCACTCCAGCCCCACCCAATGGAGTAGAGTCCACAAACAACCCCAACTGTATGGGGGTGATAAGCCAGTGGAGATAACAGCCCAAGACTCGGGGCTGCACTCCTTCACCTTGGTCCCCACACCCTCAGTACCCTGATCCTTTCTCTCACCTTCCCTCAAGAGTCCTGCTCTGAAACTACCTTGCACCTGTTGCACCCGCCACCACCCCTGCCTGCCTGTCTGCCACCCAAGTAGTGCAGAGTGGGAAGAAAGGAGCCTTGTGGCCTTACCTTCAGCCGGTAGTTACCCACAGCTAGGTAGAAGACATAATCCCGTTGCTCCTCTTTGCTCCCTTTGGGCAGCAGCTCTGGGGAGAGAAAAGTAAGAAAGTGAACACTGCTTCTCTCTTTTTCTAATACTGTATCCCAGAGGATCTGCTGCTCTTGGAATCCTACCACAGCCCTAGGAAGTCTGGCCTGAGCCTTCACGTCAGCTCCAGTCCTTCTCAGCTTTCCACTCAGAGCTCCAGGGCAGCAGGAACTGAGGCTGGCACAACACTCCAGGGGCAGACATTGCAGAATCAATACTATGGTCACCTCTGGTGCATCCATGCAAACGTGAAATCAAGACACCAGAGAAGATCAAAGGCAGCTCGACTCAGTTCTGGCATCTGCTGTGTATTTTGCAGCTCTTACCTGCTGCCCGATTATTGTTAACTATAAGTCTGTACTTCCTCCTCTTTAACTTACTGTCCCTGAATGACCCCACTTGACACCTTAATTTAGTGACTTCCCAGAGGTGTAGGTGCTTGGTTGTCCTCAGTGCCCGAGAGTTTGCTAATTAGTTTGTAGCTTCCAAAACCTTCCCCAGTACCTGTACTGTCTTCTCAACTACATGGCGATGCTGAGACCACTTCTACTACTGTGCCCCACTGTAGAGCAGACCTGAAAAATCTGAACTGGCTAAACAGATAAATGCAGGGTGACAGTATTTTTATAGTTCTATGAAAGGCATCCTTTGCCACTACAGCTCTCTTTTTGTTTTCTCAGGGTATTGGTTCCAGGACCCCTCCTTGCATTCCAGAATCCATGGATGCTCCAGTTCCTTATATAAACATTTGCATGTAACCTATGCATGTCCCTTCATATAGTTTACTTTTTTTTTTTTTTGGTACCAGGGAACAAACTCGGGTCCTTGTGCTTGTGCAGCAGGCGGCGAAACCACTGAGCTAAATCCCCAGGCCCCCTTCATATAGTTTAAATCATCCTAGATGACTTATGATACTGAATACAATGTAAATGCTATGTTAAGTTGTACCTTTGTTTTGTGGAGTGGGGTACTGGGATCGAATTCAGGATCTTGCACTTGGAAGGCAAGTGTGGCGCCACTGGGCTACATCCCCGGTCCAACATTTGTATTGTTTAGGGAATAATGACAAGAAGAAAAAGTGTACATATTCATCAAGAAAATGTTTTTTGTTTCTGTAAGTATTTTGGATCTGAATGAACTCGCAGCTGTGGAACCTGCAGATACAGAGTGTTGCCTGTGTAGCCCTTTGCTGCAGTGAAGTGAATGTACTGGGAGAGGACTGCATGGTGAGAGGAGGGTCTCATGTAGAAAAGGACCCCAGCACTTGAGCTGGAGGTGGTGAATGGAGCCAAGAGTAGCAGAAAAGGACAGAAAAGGAGGTTGGGTGGCCCAGAGCCTCACCCTCGAGCAGCGAGATCCCCTTACGGATGTCGTCATTGTACTTGCTCCGTACCAGGCACCAGGCATACTCAAACTGCGTGCTCTTGGACACCGAGCCTGCTGCCTGCTCAGACTGAAATTTCTTCTCAAATTTCTGCCAAAGGAGAGGAAAGGAACCATTTAGAAAGGAAGGGTGTCAACCAGTCTATCTGGACCTGGTGTCCATGTACCCTTACATTCCAGATATTCCTGGCTCTGCCCTCTTCCCTTGGGGGGTCTTTGGTACCTGGTACCCCGGAGCCTGTCTCCGTCCCTAGGAACCAGGCATTCTGCTCTGGCGGGCCAGTTAGGAACAGACCACCCCGCCCCCCCCCCACGCCGCCCTGTGGCACCGAGCAGAGATGCCACCTGGTGGTGGCTCCAGGCACCGCTCCCGGAGCAGCTGACCCAAGTGACTGAACAGTAAACATACTGTCTGAACTGCCCAACACGCCCTCGCGGTCCTCCTCTAGGGCTGCTGGTTCCATCCCGCCCTGCCCTGCCGGGTCTGGACTTCTATCTCATCAGCAAAACAGGAATAAAAATAATGCTTACCTCCTAGAGTTACAAAGATTGAGATCTGGCATGCAATGAAGGAAGCACCATGCCAGCCTACATAATATGTGAAAGTTTAAGACGGTCACTGTATCCCCCTCACCACTGAAGAAGCACCCTGAGCTCCCAACTTGGCATGAACCCAGAACCGGTCAGCCTTTCCACCTTCGGACTCCAGGCCTTAGGTTGGAGGTGCGGAGTTTCAAGAAACTACAACTCCCATTATCCCCTGAGGCAAAACGCACACTTCGGGCAAGAGCCGGGCACTGCAAAGGCTGCCGGGAGCCGTAGTTAGGCTTCCTTTACCAAAGCCAAAGCTAAAGAGGGTTTGCCCGTGCCCAACTCTCCTCAGGACCCGCCCTCTGATTCTTCTCTTTGCCTCCCGCGGGGCAGGCCTCACCATCAGATCATCCACAGAAACCAGGTCGTTCAGCACGGCCTCCATGGCCACCGCCCCCACAATCCTTACACCACAAGACTCTACTGGGCCACAGCCTCCATGGTCCGGTGGCAGGGGCGGAAAGGCACTTCCGGCGTCAGGCGGATGAGAGCCCATAAACTAGGGAGGCCCCGCCCCTTCCTCCAGCGCAGTCTGGCCTGAGGGGGCGCTAGTGCGCATGCTCAGACCATCCCTGCCAGCCCAACCGCTGCACAGGATAAAACACTCTTTTCCAAGTTGGGCAGCCTCACTGTGTGCCTTCTTCCACCGAGACTGCCCCACTAATGTTCAAGAATGAATTGGTGGCTAATCTCGGGCTGGAAAGCCTGAAAGAGGTGGGTGGGAAACCCAACGGTGACCATAGTTTTAAGGTCCCGTCTAACGCCCCTCCCGCTCAAATCTAGGACTGGAGGCCAAGTGACTTCACTCTCCACGACAAAATCCTAACTACTACCAGGGTTTCTAGGGCCTCTGCTGACTCTTACAAACAAGAGGATCTATTGACGATATACCCAGAGACCAATACATAATCACAGCAGTGTCACCAATGGAATTTAAAGGAAAGTTGTCTCAACACTTGTAAGGCCCTGTCTTTTTTTTTTTTTTTTTTGACAGGCTGGCCTTGAACTCATGGCAATCCTCCTGCCTCAGCCTCTGCAGTGCTGAGATTACAGGTGTGCGCAACTTTGACCAGCCTGAAGTATTATTTTTCTAAACCATTTTCTGGGTGTACCTGAAGGGAAAGCCTACCATATGGGGTCACAAGGTGTGTGGGGGGGAGTGTTTTGTGTTCAATGCAGTGATGAGTAGTTTAGTGAATTTCACTTTCTCTTCATCCAGACCTACGCCTCAGGTACATAATGGAATGTTTGTTCCACGAGGGCAAGACTATCTTGTTTATCTAGCACCTAAAACAGGCCCACAGTGAACGTTCAAATAAATATTTGTTGAATAAACACGAAATAAAGCAAATAGTTAAGTATGAGGGCAGTGCAAAGGCTCGAGACAATGCTCTGAGCACCCTTCATGCTTGCAAAGCCATATATCACATATGAAGGAATGTTCTCCACTAATTGGCTAGGATAGGTGCAATGAGTTTGATATGAGCTCAGTA